ATAAATTCCTGTCGTGACTCAGTCCAGAGATGTGACAGACTACACGTTGGTCCCCGACCAAGTATAGTTTGTCGTCTTTCACGACCTGCATGGTGTTGGGCTGCAGTCAGGCTGGCAGTGTGAGCGTGACTGTGAGAGACACGTCTTATGGTCCCGGTCCTGCTTCTTTCGGAGAAGAAATGTGTCTCCGGTGTATTTTCTGATATATTTGTTGAGACTTCAGTCTAGTCAAAACAAGGCTGCTGCTTTGTCTTGGACAATGTACCCACTATAAAAAACGACAGTGCTGATTGAGAGTTCAGCAGCCTAAAACAACATATTTATACTTTTTGCTCACTCTGGTACCCAGATGATATTATAAGCCGTTTGTCAGGAGTGAACGAGGAAGGATAATAATAACTTTATTTGTATAGCACTTTTTCAAACCCGGTTACAAAGTGCTGTACACAAAAACAAACATGATTCATACTTGAAACTTCCAATGAATTAAAAATGGACAATAAAATCAACATTAAATAATACAATAACAGCAACACTACGATATATAAAAGTGAGCCTGAAGAAGAGATTTGACATCTGACATCTCCAGACGGGGAGTTCAACAGCTGAGGGGCCCCAACAGCAAACGCCAGGTCACCTTTAGTGACGAGACTTTGGTACCTTTATTAGAGCCCCGCCGGAGGCTTCGGCCCGGCTCATAGGGAGCAGTGTTGGGGTAGTTAGTTGAAAAAGGTAATGGATTACACATTACTTTTTTTTTTTTAAGTAATGCCCTCCTTTACTAGATTACTCCCCGCTGAAAGTAACTAGTTACATTACTTTTGGATTACTGCGCAACATCACCAGTGATTCACAAAAACAATATAAAAGTTACACTTCATAAATGTCCAGATCAACACAAATCCTTATTATAATGAGGACATACTCTCTTTTATGCTCTTTAATATTACAAAGCTGACAACAAAGAACAAAACTACAGTTCAGCACTATAATGCTAAGAACTTTAACTGGACATTTCATTACAATACAACATAACTTAAAACAGGTTGTCCTTCCAACCAGTGCAAATATTAATTTGTTGAAAATAATATAAAAAAAAATAAGACACTGGCACTCATCAAAATATCAGATGATGCTGAGACTTCAAAGGACAAACTTCTGTGATGTAATTTAAACTGTGCAGTTAACAGACCGAACCCACGCAACAAACTTTCTGTAGCTCACCAGCTGAACTGTGGCTTTAAAGTAGATTTTTCCCTCTGACTGGACCCGCTTATCAAAGAGTGGTTATACCTGATGAGCAGGAGGCTCTCAAACAGTTTGTCAGACAACCTGTTCCTCCTCAGAGTCAGCACAAAGCTAACCAGGCTAAACGCCACACCTCACCTCGTCCTTTCACGAAACAATATAAAGTAATACCTCCACCCCTCGAGAGACGTCTTTGACAGCTCTGCCATTTCTGCGCCCTCATGAACTGACGCTGAAGTCAAAAGTGAGGTCGGAAAAGTGTTTCTCTCCTCCCGTTATACGGGTAGTTCAAGAACCAGTTCGCAAGTACCACTGCAATGTGATTACTGAAGTTATTGACAGTAATGCGTTACAGACAAAAGTAATCTGATTACAGTAATGCGTTACTTTGTACCGCGTTACCCCCAACACTGGTAGGGACTTATCAAGTTACAGATGTACGCAGGAGCCTGAGCGTTCAGGGCTTTAAAAACAAGTAGTAAAATCTTAACATTAACTCTAAAGCTGACAGGTAACCAGTGAAATGCAGCGAGCATTGGTGTGATGTGGTCTCTTCTCGTCCGGCTGCAGCATTTTAAATGAGCTGTAGTCTATTAAATAAAGGCATGGATGGATCTCTAAGTCACATGATTCTAATCATTTGATATCAATAATTATCTGGATAAATGCCAAATCCTTATTTCTTTCAAGTTTAAAGGGTTTTGCTCCGGAGAGGAAGCTGAAGAAACCAGATGGTTAAATAGTGGTTTTAAACTTTGATTCTTTATGTTCAGAACAAACACTTGTTTGCAGCAAAGTGCCTCAATATTACAGAGTCTTCTTTGTTACTTGTAGCTGAAGGCAGCAGTGATGATGTCTGGCGGGCGCTTGTCTCAGTCACAGAGCTGGGCAGATGCAAACATTTAGAAAATCAGACAAACACCTTTTTCAGTTTAAGGCTTTATTGTTCTACTAATACAACTGAGATCCAGTGAGCGCACACCGTGGGACTGGTGGCCGTTTTGGAAAGCAGCCTGCGTCGCTCTTTCACAAGCGAAAATACTTTCACTTTCCATTAACGGCGCATTAAAAGCGTCTTTAGTCTCTGCAGAGCAAATGAAGCCTTCACACTGTAAGATCTACGTCAGACGATCACTGCATTAAGATATATTAAAAGTGTCCTGTTGTTGAACAGGTCATCGCTTTGGACATTAGCCTGTTTCTTTTCTTTAATACACATCAGTTAATATTTGTTTTATAGCGATGTCCGACGGTGAGTCCATAAACAGAATGTCGCCGGTGAAATCTTTCACTCAGCAGCTAACAGCTGTTATTTATTTCTGAGATGCACAGAGAAAATATGGTGGATAAAACAGTCCTGTTGGGCTTTACGCACGACGCACAGCTTCCTCTGTATGCAGCTTTACCTACTTCAAAAACGAGCTGCTCCGTGTTGCTGACACAATCATTCTTTGCATTGTAAAGATTATTTAGATGCTTTATATAATCAGATTGTTTCGGCTGCCTGTGCTGCTGCAAGTGGTTTGGTCGGCTACATGTCCATAATAAGAGACAGGCAACAATAGTTGGCTAGACAGCAAGCGTGATACTTTACAGTGATCTTATCAACACATTCATGGAGATTTAAAAAGGAAAATAATTGTAGAAATAGCTAGAGATGGATAGAGACAGATACTCAACAAGCAAAGCAAACTAACCATGTTGCACAGCTGTTTCTAACCTGATGAACAGCAGATGAAATAGGTTTGTCATTTTTTTTTTATGGAAGTAATTGTACTTTTTCTTGAGTAAAGATTTTGAGTACTCTACCCGCCACAGTACTAGCGCTGACATGGTGTACATGAGACAGAGAGCAGAGATGAGGTCTATAGCAAAACAGTCTGAACCAGCACAGCACAAAGCACCAGTTTTGCAGAATTGCCAGCCTTCAAATCATTTAAAAGCAACCAGTAAAACTGGCTCACAAAGCTTCAGCCACCTGCTGCTACCTGAATTTTGTGTTTCCATTTACATAAATAATTTCCACAATAAACTGATGCAGGAAAAACAGTTTTGTTGTTATATTAGAATTAGACACATGAGAACATCAAAATGAGACAGTTAATAGTGTTGTTGTGCTGCATAAGTAGAGGATGTTTACTGTTGCTTTACTGCTTTCTGGGGGGGTCAATTATTGTCAAATATGAAGTTGATGTTTCAACATCCTAAAAACACCCCTGCGTTAAAATAGAGCGTTTTTTTGCCAGGCGAGGATGAAAATCTCATATTTTTTCTTTATTGCATCTCCATGTAGTCTGTAATGGTAAAATAAATATTGATTTATATTCCTTAGCTTCTGATGATGCATCTGGGCCAAATGGCTGAGGAGTTATTTTAGTTTTTCCTGGAAAAGGGCTGTGCCCGACAGCTTCTCACTCTCACAAAGTGTTTTCCCCGCCGAACATGCCCGATGGTTCTGAATATTTCAGCTGTTTTAATTAATCAAAATGACCGCAGAACCTTCAGGACTAACTGTTGATCCAATGAAACCCTCAGAATGAACTTCCATCAGCCTTCAGAGAACCGGAGGACGCGGCTGCTCGTCAGAGAGCAGCCGAGCAGGTGTGACGCTGGTTTTCTAACAGACTGTAAACGCCACAAAATAAATGTTGAGTCTGATAAGTTTACTTAGAAACCGCAGACCCCCCACACACACACACACACAGACCGACAATGTCCGGGTCACAGTGGGCTGATGTTTATCTGCTCTCTGGCTGGAATTTTGTCTCCAATCATGAATTCACTTTGGTTCTGTATAAACGCCGTCTGCTCGGACAAACTTTAGAAAACACTCCGTGTGAAGGAGAACTGGAGATGTAGAATATATCTCTAAAGTCCTTCAAAAGTATTCTTTTTACTTGTAGTATTGATAGTCAGTAATGGAAGTATTAGGAGTACAAATAATAAGATATTAGTAGTGATAACATCAGGTAGGAGCAGTAATAGGATTCTGAATGTAGTAGCAGTCCTAGAAGCAGCACTAGTAAAAGTATTAATATATGTTTTAGTAGTAATGCAGGTGCTAGTAGCAGGACTCTAGAAGTAGTAGCAGGTGAAGAAGAGTTAAGGGCAGTAACTGTAACAGCTGTAGTAGTAATTACAATAGTAACAGTGTAGTGGGTAATTATAGTACCAATTAGCAGTAGTAAAATTAGTTGAAATAATGCTATTAATACTAGTAGTAGTAACAGGAGCAGTAGTGTTAATAGCTATTATAGTAGTAGCATTGGCAATGGTGGTAGTTATAGTACTAGCAGTGGTAGTAATTATTGTAGTAGCAGGGTTGATGGTACTAGTAGTTACAGTTAAACCAGTGGGGATTGTGGTACTTGGAGTACTTGTAATGGTAGTAGTAGCAGTGGTAATAGTTGCAGTACCAGTGATAACGTGTTGTAGTAGCAGTATTCTAAGTGTAGCATAGGTTGTAGTACTTTATGCAGTAGTATTAGTAAAGCAGTGCTCTTAATAGTTGTGGTAGTAATCATAGCTAATTAAGAGGCGTATTCACAGTTAACAGTAGTAGTTGAAGACGTAGAGGTAGTAGTAGTATTAATATTCACCTGAGAAGTCAAAAGTAATAGCATATTGATTAAAAGAACAAATTTTAGTACCAGTTACTACAGTAGAAGTAAAAACAGCAGCAGTAGTATCAACAGTAGTAGTGCTAAAAGTACTAATGTGAGTTAATAGTGTTTTTTTATTGTGTCCTTCAGGATCAGCAGACTCTCTGGGCCTCCTGTCTTCCTGCTGAGGTGTGCTTCAGACTGCAGACCCTGAACCCGAGCCAGGTATCACATCCTCACCTCCTGCACTAACACTGGCCGGCTGCCCGCAGCTGGAGAGCCAGCCCTCCACCGCTGCGGGCAGACATGCAGTGTTTGGTTTCTCTTTTCACCTCCGGGGCTTCTTACAGCTGCTGCTTTGCAGATTCATCATTACAACAGGCTTTAACTGTAAAACAAAACGTGCATCCAACACCTGAAACCAGCCATAAAACCTCCTGCGTTTAATGAAAATGTCACTTCAGACTCTTTACTTGTCATCATTTAATCTGGCCTGAGAGGGACTCGCCTCCTCCAGTTGATGTTGGGCGCTGAGTCACTTCATGTGTGGTTCTTTAAAGTGCTGTTTGCTTCAAACTGTGGCAAGAGGTAATTACCACATTAGCTCCAGCTCCAACTTTCTCCAGGACGTGCCTGCTTTCTTGATCAGGAGGAAATCCATAATGAGGAATTTCCTGCAGATACTCGTCAGCAAGCTTCTGCTTTTTGTATGTTTTTGGTAACTTTCTTAACACATTGTTGGGAAACGTTTCTACATTTGTTCTTTTATTTTCCCGTTAAAATCTGCTCAGCATTGCTCGCATTCTTCATTTTCATATTATTACTCATTTAGCTTACGCTTTTATCCAGTTGCTGTTCATGTCAGAGGTCGAACGCCTCTGGAGTAACTAGGGGTTAAGTGTCTTGCTGAGGGACACAAAGGTGGACGTCTCACTGTGGGAATCGAACCCAGGTTTTCCACACTAAAGGCATGTGTCTAATCCACTGCTTCATCGCCACCCCGTTTTCATGGGAGATGTGACCAGGAATGCAACAAACCCAGAAAAGCTTCAGATCATCAACGAAGTCTGAATGGCGTCAAAGCAACAAAAGAGAAACCTTTTTTTTGTTTTTAAAAACACACTGACTGAATCCAGACTAAACAAGTCAAACAGAGCTTCGTGCTGAGTTTATGAGCAGCTTTCAGATTATCACGCAGTGAATTTCACAAGGAAAGGTCCGAATCTACGTTGGTGCTTTGGTCCAGCTGAGCTGCAGACAAATATTAAGAACAGATCAGGAGACAGGAAACCAACAAAACTGTGCAGGCTGTGTTTTCTTTTGCAGATTGAGGCATGAAGGGGAAAACAAGAATTACTGAAAACTTCTTAAAAGATTTTTATAGGGAGACTTTGGAGGGTCCGGTCCACAGCAGGTATAAAAGAAGTAGTCGTAGCCTCTGTGACGTCCCCCGTTGGTTTGTGGACCGCATGTTTGGCACTTTTGCCGTCGCCATCTTGGCTTTCTGGAACCAGACGTGACCTTATTTGGACAAGAGGGAGGAGCGAGCTAGCTTGGTTAGCAAGGTGCATCTGTAATTCATGTTAACTGTGATATTAGCTGGGATGCTAATTTTGGCTAGCGACAACCAGGCTGAAAACAAAACGTACTTACTGTAAAAATAAACAGCTGACTCCTAAGAAAGCCTGATTTATAGTTCTGCTTCGAATCTTTGCTGTAGCCCACGCGTAGCCTGTCGCCCACCTCTCAAAAATGTATCTACACGTCGCAGAGACACAGACTGCAAGAACTGTAATTGGTCATCTTGGAAGCGTTGCATTTCCTCCGAGCCCACAGGAAGCGCTCCGTGCTTTGAAGTCCATTTTACTAGCAGCCAATCCAGCGGCTGTAATAGCGGTGGAGACATGTTTCAGAGCGTTACGACCCACTCTAAATGACTGGTTTCACGATCAGAGTCTGATCCATTCAGTCGATAACATTTAGAAAGTCTACCAGAGCCGCAGGATTATCATTTTACCCACATTCACTTTAGCGGAGGGCTGAACCGGAAGTTAGCCTGCTGCCGGCAAAAGTCACAACACTGTAGACGCTATAACACTACTGCCAATTAGCGTTTCGGGCAGTGCGATTGCAGAACGACGGAGACACCAACGCACAAGTATACTGTAAATGCTGGGCTACGTGCGTAGCCACAGCGTAGACTCGATGCAGAAGTATTAATTCATTAAAACATCTGGTGTGTGCATGCAGAACCAGTTATTAAATAGTGTTGCTGAGGTTGTACAGACTTCACCTTGGAGGCAAAAGCAAACAGGGACTCGGGCTGCGGTCCTCAGAGGAGAGAGAAAGTCTGGATCGAGCAGCGTTTTCATAAACAAATATGCTCTCTGGTGTTCCTGGCAGCACAAACCTGACACGTCTTCTGTGGCGACTAACGCTGTGCGATATGACTGAAACCCCAGAGGTGCTCGTCGGTAACTCTGAGGGGAAACAAGTATTTTCTGTTACCAGAGCTGCTCTCTTTTCAAGCTCCATAAATATTTATTCTGAGTTATCTTTATTGAATTCATGTGGTGAGCCTCAACGTTGGACGTCTGTTGGATCTCGGTTGATGGTTTTCATGTGTTCTGGCAGCCATGTTGGCCGTCCGTAGTGAACAGCTGGTTGTGTCTCTAAACTAATAACTTCTCTGTCTCTCACATAGTTGATTATTTGGCTGGTTCTGACTGTACTGTAATCACTAATCCATCTGATTGTCTGTGTGTGTGCTCGGCTCGCCGTGTCACCGCCGGGCTGCTAACACTTATGATTAGCGCGCTAGCTAACGAATCTAGTGGAAGGCAGCATTAGGTTGTCATCTTTAATATCGGTCTGTAAAGCAAAGAAGTGGTTTACTTACGAGTTTAAAACCTACAACAGACTGCATGTTTCTGATAATTTGGGCGCACAAATGAGTTCAACCACAAATTGTAATGATTTTTTAATTATTAATGAGCAGTTTGAATTAGTTTAAAATGATTGTGGCAGCATGGACTAACCTGCAACTTCGCATGATTTGGCTTCAAACGGCTACATAGCTAATCGCGACCTTTCTAGAAAATAAGTCCACTAAACCACCTATGGAAGACGCTCTACGTGGAGAATACGCAGCGAGTCTATTTCTGACAGAAGTCGCGTCGAGCAGCACAGAGCAGATCCAACCGGGCAGGAAGTCAGACAGAACAGCTTAGAGAATCCGGTCAATTTTTAAAATGAAACACCCTGTGCAGACTTCCAATCGTATATCAACAACACACGCAAAACAGACAAAAATAGAAACCAATGAACCACGTAGCCACGGTGGGCGCACTAATTACCTTCCATCCATCCATCGTCAACCGCTTATCCTGCGTACAGGGTCGCGGGGGGCTGGAGCCAATCCCAGCTGACATCGGGTGAAAGGCGGCGTACACCCTGGACAGGTCGCCAGCCCATCGCAGGGCACTAATTACCAAATCAACTAAATCTGAACTAGTCAGCAGAATCAAGCAGGCAGAACGCTCTGATTTTAAAATGCTCCCTGTTTGATGTGCAGCCGACAGAACAAAACCGGGTCGCAGAGAGCCGTTGCCGGTAAACCCTAGTAGATTCACAGAAAGCACAAATTAACAAAAGGTCAACAACGTGCTCCGTTGCAGCTGGCTGAAGACAATGGAAGCACATCGTGTTAATGGAAAACAATTTAATTAAATAATACTTTTTATCATACAGTAAAACCTTTTGTGTGTGTAAAAGGACGTCAGCAACTGACCCAAAATGTGAAAACTACACAACAATTACTGACTTTTGTATATTACCAACCTATGGAGCTGGATGGGAACGAGGATCACTCGCCTTTTTAACTCTTAGTCACCAACGCTGCTGAGGCTTCAGTTGTGTGTGCGCACATGTCGGAGAAACATCAGTTTTTCACAGTTAGCCATGTTTGTTTTAGCCATGTTCCTGGATCAGGGCTGCTCTCTAAACACAGCTGTTAGCTTGATGCTGATGCCGAGTGAAACTGCAGCTTCAGTTCACGTTCCTACGATAATGTGAGGCATTCGGAGGAGCATGTTGTGCAAACATATTAAACCATCTGAGGGCACCTCTTACTGATTCCATCTCATTAATTTGAGGTTGTTAATTTTCTCCTGATACACGTCAGTCGCCATAGAAAGGCTTTCTCCTCTCGCGTTCACTTTGGAGACTACATCGTTGCAGCCCGTGGCCTCAGCACACGCCATTTAGCAAAGATACTAATCTTAAAGCTGAGGCGCATCCCAGTGCTCACCTGACCGTGAGCCTTTTGAGTGGTTTAAATGTCCATCCAGGTAACGTACATCCCGTTATAAGTTGAGTGACTTTCCTGGATTGGGCTTAAATAAACGTTTTGAACCCTTTTTTTAAGTTAACATTGTTCAGTTATCAATTTACTTCTATTTGCCCTCAACTTTTAATTTCTCCCACAGTTTCCCAGCTCCTTGTTCACTCTGTTGGCTGCCAGCTGCACACATGCTGTTGTGTAATAATGTGCAAATTAAAACGTAAACTGCAGGTCCCTAATAAACAAAATAAAATATATAATGGAATAACAGATGTTTCTGTTCACTAACTACTAATTCGTACACCCGATTTAATTATAATTCATTAAATAAAATATGTTTTCTCCATAATCCCTTTGAACTCCTCAGTGAAGGCAGAGCTCGGGGGGCTCTCATCAGGTTCTGAGTGTGGAGTCGTGGCTGTTTTCACTCGGCGCTGGTCCAGACATGAGCTCTATACGTTGAAATAACAAATTCCTTCGTTTAGATTAGACAGAGAACAAACATCTGCCTTTCAAACAGTGCAGTCACCAACAGTAAATCACAAGGGAGGGGAGAATACCACATGTAAAGCTCCGGGGGCCACGTCCAGGGACCCGGGGGAGGCTGGGTGTCCTTGGTGTTTGAGTGAGGGGTTCATAGCACCAACACATGTTAGTGTTTTCCAGCACAGCCTCTGACTGACCTCCATGCTGCTGCTTTCAGATCAGTTTCTGACTTTGATTTCTCCTTTTTGAAAGTTCACCTTGTCATTCAAATGTTTGTCAGCGACGTACGGGAGAATAATATAGATAATAATATATTTTTATGCAACGTATCTTGAAATTGCCTGCTTTATCGGAACAACAAGGTCAAATACATTTAATTGCTATCTCACAGGGGCCA